AAAAAAAGATCTTGCGAATTACCAATCAACGATTAAAGTTTATGATAAATATTTGCCACATTTATATTTATTTTGCTAAATAATCCCAATATTTGAATACAAAAAAACAATAACTGAATTCTCACTAAAGACAATAAGAAAAATTGGTTTAACTCGTATCAAAAAGAACTGCATAAAAAAGATGAAAATCATCATGTGACAGTTTACAATAATTAGTCAAAAGCCTGAAAAGTAAAAATAATGCGCTACAAAACAGGTAAATGATCTTACTACGTATGTATATATAAATATGTTCAAAATTCAAATTTTCCAAAAAAAAATCCACGCTATTACTTATGAACGGGCAAAAAAAAAAAACCTGCTATTATAAACAGGCAAAAAAAAAAAAAAAAACCAAAAACAATTCCTGTTATTGATTACAAACAGGTAAAAAAAAATCAGTGATAGATTTTTGTTTTAATGATTAATGTATTTCCTTCTAATCAATAGTAAGTATTTTCTAAAAACTTTAAGATCCTCCATATTAAAATCGCAACATTTTTGTTGCTCAACAAAACTAATGAATTTTGTTAGTCCATTTAAGCCTTCTATAATAGGAATTTCGGGCGCTTCTTCGTCAGTGTCACTAGCATCACCCTCTTCGAATTCCTGTTGTTCGTCCAACACAATGCTCCCGATTTTTTCATCATCAAGAACATCTTCAGTAAGGATTTGAGAATCATTCGTATGGTCGAATTCATTTATCTGGAGTTCGATCGTCGGATCTGACAGATTTGTTGTTAGATCTATGATTAATTTATCAACATCGTTCTTTTCTAAATCTGTTAAATCTTGAACAGCAAAAGTGGAATCGTCAATTTCACTATCCGATAATAAGAGAAGAATTCCTGTTTTTTTCCAGCAATTCACAATGGTTGATTCTTCAACTTCATCCCATGATTCTGCAACATAGTATATCGCCTCCCTGATGTTAAGTTTATTTCTGTACAAAAAAAAAAGTTTCAGTAAATTTTTTTTATAAAAAAACAAGAAAATCAACTAAATTAAAAATTAGAAATCAGCATCGTGAGTAGAGATGGGAATCATGCACTTATTGGTGAGAGCGCTTAAGCTAATGATATAAAAATCACAACGAATCTAAGTTAAAATATGTGATAATTAAGCATCTCACACTGATAAGTGCATGATGGCCATATTTAGTCATGAGCTAAACTAAATTACATAGAAAAAACTTAACCCGCAACACTAACGCTAACATAAATGGGTGTATGTATAAAGATCTATTCGATAGTAAACCCGCTATGAATTGTCCCAAATAATTAAACTTTCTATCATAAATACAAAGTACGTATGTACATACTTTAAAATTTTCCCTTCACACTATAATTGGTAATATACACCCATTTATGCAATTGTACATACAGTACATAAAAAGAGCAAATATGAAATAATATTTTATTTTTATTACCCGTTTGCTGCCAAATACAGTACTATATATGTGTGATGTGTAATGCATATGATTGTTATTTTTCTAAGTAAAAGATTGCATCACATCGGATACGTACAGTATACAGTGGCAAATGGGTATATTCTTACGTTTTTAAATCTTCGCCTCTTTCGAACTGATCTATTATATATTGTAAATATTTTTTTTTATATTTCGCTTTAAAGCTATAGATAATCTCTGCATCCATCGGCTGAAGGTGAGCAGTAGTTTTGGATGGTAAAACTTCAATTCGGATATTTGTTAAACAAATATTAGAAGGATCTGGAATTATATAAGGACGACCAGTACCATGGCGGCCCTTGCTTTTCTGCCCACGTTCGCGTCCACGTCTGCGACCACTTCCACGCCTACGTCCATGACCACTTCCACGCCCACGAAAAGAATCTCGTCCTTTTTGCTTATTAATGCTACCAGCATTTAATCTTGGACGACCACATCAAGTAAGAGGTGCTTTAGATGAGCTTGCTTAGATTTCTTCATCTAACTTTTCACTTTCTGATTCTTTGTCTTCTGACTCTTCACTTTCTGATTCTTCATTACTTGATTCCTCTTCACCACTCAATTCTTTATCTGGTTCTAACCTATCTTGACTGTTATTGTCATTAGGATTATAATGACTTGTCGCGCTATTAACTAATAACAAAATATGCCGGTTTTCTAAGCAAAATAAATATAAATGTGGCAAATATTTATCATAAACTTTAATCGTTGATTGGTAATTCGCAAGATCTTTTTTT